TCCCTCCTTCTCTCTCTTTCTCCCTCTTTCCCTCTCTTTCTCTCATCTTTCACATGCATTTGTCAAGAATATTCAATTAATTTCCCCACCTCTTCGTTTCTTTTCTCTTATTTCATTTTGCACCTTGTCATCAGGGCCATGTTCTCAAAGTTTGGCTCCACTGTGTCCATTCTGCCACCAAAACTTAAGAGATTTTCTCATTGCCTGCTAAATTAAATCCTATTCAGCCTCTTTCTTAAAGCTCCTTCTACAATATATGCCCTATCAATCTCCCTTATTCAGAAATTCCTTCTGTAATGAAATACTTCCTTCCCCCTTTCTCCCTCGTCTTTGTCCATGGTGTAACAAATGCCGGAGCTTTCTCTGCCTCCCTTTCCACCCTCTCCACCTTCTATTTCCCCTTAAACTTCTCCCAGTACTTGTGTGAAGCTTTTTGCTGTCTTTTCCTAAGTGCACATTCTTTTCTCTCCATGATATGCTGCCTGCACATTTTTTTGTCACTACGGGCGTTTTATTTGATGCTATGGTGCTTACGTCCTTTTACATCTCATCTATTATAAACCACAAGCTTGTTGAGCTCAAGGCACGTCTCCCTCTTTACTGTTTCCTTAAACACCACCACGTCTTAGATGTACTTAATAATTAAGTAATGGAATCACTTTATAGGAATCAGGCTTTTAATTTGGATTTAATTATTGGTGATCTCACAGACTCTCTTGGATGCTTGGCAGTGATTCTAGGTGTTACGGCTGGTTTCTTGTGGAAACCAGATGTTACTTCCTTGTATAGATTGTTAATATAAATGGAAAGATTTTTTTGTTTGATAAGGTATTTCACATTTATCACGAGAAAACTATTCATGTGCAGTGATGTGCTTGGTACTGATAAAAAAGCAAAGCCAGGTGGCAGAGGCAGGCAGTTACTCTCTTGGATATGTTAAGCAATCCACGGAAGTCAGATCTTTTTGATTCTGTTAACAAGCTTTTTCAGGATTCCAAGTGGAAAAATTGTACTGAAGCACTCTAAGTTATTGAAATGAAACACACACAGGTGCTGTTAAAATAGTATTTTATATTCTGCCTATTCATTCATTCATTTAATCATTCTCTGAACACTTCTTATACCCTATTTGTGATGTGATAAATAGATACAGACAAATCTTATTATAGTATGTTTTCTTTAAACAGTTGTGAGAAAATCTAGTTTCATGCTAAATGGGCTTGTTGTTATTTAGAGAATTTATATGCACTGACATCAGTTTCTGCGGGTATACCTATGAGCAAAAGAGTTCACGTTGTCTTCTCTTCGGTCTTTTAGAAGAGCTCAGGAGGAGAAAAGGAAGATAGTGCTGGCTGGATGTGTTCCTCAAGCCCAGCCTCGGCAGGACTACCTTCGAGGACTGAGTATCATAGGGGTAAGCTTGTGACTGATGGGAAAAAGAGAAAGTCTTGTGTTGTTAAAACATGTAATAACACCACACTTTATTTTCTACTCCTGCGTTACTTACAAGCCATGTTATACTTATGACTGTCTTCAATGTACTTCCCCTATTGCCATGAAACTTTGTCATGTCTGTGTAACTTTTTCATCTTAGCACAAAAATATGTTCTAGATTATCTCATTAAAAAAACACACTAACAGAATAAGTAAGTCATAACATGGAATTTAATCCTTAATAATAACCTGGTCTTTGCCTGCCTGTCCGGCATTGCCATGTCATTGTAATTTTCCAACCCCACTAAACTACTTGTCATCTCCCAGTACACCTGTGCCCATACCGATGCCTTTTTCTGGAGTGCTCCACTTCCCTGCAGTCACCCTGCAAGTCTCAGCTTCAACACTACCATTCTACAAGCCTCCTCTGGCAAGTCTGTATCGTCCTCAGTAATCCTGTCTCTGCTCCCTTTGCTCACTGTGCAGTTTATCGTCATTTGCTCTCTCAGCTTTTCACACAGTTGTGATTTTGGGGTTAATGCACATGATCTTTTGAATTAAGCCTACCTCACTGTTTAAATTATGAGCTTCGCGATGACAGCTGTTCAGCTTTTTTAAAACCCTCACTGTGTTTCTTCCGCCTTTCCCATGATGCCTGCCACACAGTGGGCACTCTGTAAGTGCTGGTGACTGACACTGAATGAATCTTCCCTTGTATTTTGTTGCTGGCATGCCTTTCCCCCGTTGGGCAGCCAGTTCTGTGAAGTCAGGAGGCTGCTGTCTGCTGTCTCTCCCACTCTGTGGCCAGCGCGCTTCTCCAGCTGCCCATTCAGTCAGTGTTGTCGACCACGTGCTGGTGCTTCACCCTTCCCATCACCCCACTGAGCTCGCTCAGTGTGCAGTACCGACATTTTCCAAAGTCTTTAGTTCTTAAAAATGTTGTATGTGCATACAAAACATGTACGCGAATGATTGGCACCTGGATTGAGACTTACTGGCTTTTTCCTTATTTGATGTACCACTGACAGGTACTTATACTGTATTCTTAGTGTAATGAACTTGTCTTCTACTGTGAAGTCCTTGCCCCACTAGCAAATTTAATAATCTTTGAACAAACATTCTCGTGTTAAACAAACAGAACCTGAATGTTTGGGAACTTAGTTTGTTTTCATCATTGGTCTGTTTACATTTTGATTTCTCTTGGTTTAGGGAATGAAATGAATATGGACTCCTGAGTTATCTTTTCACGTCAGACTAACTTTCTCTGTAAACACAATCCTGCTGTGTTAGGGAAATAGGAAACTAGTTAGAATTTTGTTTTAGAGATGGAATGTGGTAAAAGTTTGGGATTCATCTTTGATTTCATCTCAAGGAATCAAGTTACCAGAATAGTAGAATTTCCATAGTGTGACAAAAGCCCCTTCTCTATGGACATATGGTACCGTTTTCCTGTACTCCATTGTGTGCAGTAAAGGGCTTAGTATATGTAGGGTGCAGGGGAGATTCTCCAGATAGTGTAAGGGAGGACGCCCAGTGCTTTTCCTGTGGGAGATGACTTCCAGGAATAATGTAAACCCACAGCTGTGGCAGCTAAACTTTGTTTTTCTATTTAATCTAGCACACTCTTTGTTCTGTCACCTGGTCTCATTGTATTACCTTTAAACTTCTTTAGATTTATTTTGTTTTGCTCCTTCATAACTGGAAGAGTAACTTAAGAACACGTTTTAAAAAGTGAATGGAAAGAAAATTCATAATTCCATCACCCTAATGCAATAATTATAACCTTGCTTATTCTCTTCAGATGTGTCATCTTTGTGTATTTTACTTAATTATAACCTCCAAACTATTTTTTCTTCTTATTTTTTCCATGAGCTTTTATTCCATGAGGTTTTTAACTACTTTAAGTTCTTCATTAATATTCTATTGAAGGGTATTCCATAATAAAATTAACTATTCTTAATTGTTGTATATCAGTATTTTCTGACTTTTAGGAAATACACATCATGCGTTAATGTCCACAAAGAGGTTTTTATTTTAATTTAAAGTCATTATTTTATTTAAAGTCAGCTTTATTGTAATTTAAACTTGTGAAAAGTTTCCAGGAGTTGAATCACACCCTCAGTAGAAACTTCATTTCACAGTTGTGATTTAATTTTATTTTCAGCCTTTATTATTGTTTGACTCTAAGGTTGTTTTTTGTTAGCATCATTTTATAGAGTGTGTTTTCGGTAACAGCAGTATGACATCTGTCATAACTGACTATGTATAAAAATTATGTCCACAGAACCAAAAATTTCAGAAAAAAATTCTGGAATAGGAAACCCAAATCATCTGCAGTCGGTGTTTGGAGAGGCTGTTTCTGAATAGAATTGTTGGAATTGCTATAAAATCAGAAACCTTCTGAAATCAAATGGGTTACATTGAAATAAAGAAATGAAGTATATTGGTTTATACAAAGGAAAACAATTCTGAAGTGTGAAAAAATATGGAAATGTTTAAATTCAGTGATTTCGGGAAGTGTTTCTAGGAGGACGTTTGGAATTGTCTTGCAGATTTACAGGCTGCTGGGAACTGTTAGGCCTTTGCAGAATTTCTTCATCAGAGCAATCTGAGGGAGGGTGTTAATAGAGGAGGAAGGGGAACAGCTGTAAGGGCATTCTGTGCTTTCACCTCCCGCTAGGATTCATCTCTCTCCCCCCACCATGCAGGGAGGGTGTGTCAGTTCTGTTGACTGAGTGACTGGAAGAAAAAGCTGCCGTTAGGTGGGGATCTATGGGTGAGCAAGCTGCTTAGTGCACACTTTAGTTAAAAGACATACTCTCCCATGTTTGCAAATGCTCATAGCATTCGAGCAGGTACTTAGTTAGTAAGAAGGATGTTATTACCGTTGTAACATGTTAATTTCCATCAATATCAGCCTTTAGAAATGGCACATTTAATTTGTTTTCATAATCAGGGAGAGCAGTGTGGTGAGGGTACATAATAATTGGTGATTTGACCCCTGGGCCTTTTTCAGTATCTGTCTTGCTGCCTCCTGAAACTACCGAGTTGTGATGAACATTATTTGTGTGGTGGCACATGGAAAGAAAATAGAAGTAAAACCTATCATCTCTAGGTGCAAAACTGGCTTTGGTGGCAGTAGCCTTCTCCCATCCCGGAGCACAGAGCTGTCTCATTTTTTTCACATTGGGAGAGGAGAAAAAAGAGATTCAAAATGTAGAAATCTTAGATGAAAATATCTTTTTAACTAAAAGTTTTTTCCTATAATGATTTAATGAAGTTTTTATTTTATGCCTAAAATATAAGTATTTGTAGGTAACAAGTCAAGGTCTTTTGAACTTTTTCTCTATCTTGGAACATTTGACCCGACAGTGAAAATTTTCATTTCTCTTTTGGCAGATAGTTATGGTTAACCGCCCACCTTGGAATGAGTTTTCATGCAGTGTCATTTTTTCCCCTATTCCTATTATGTTTAAATTGGTTGCTCTGTGTCTAGCTATTGGTGGTAGTTTCATAATTTCGTGACTATCCCTGTTGAATATTCCTCTCCTTTTCCTCAACTCATTTGTTGGCAGGAAACTTTCGGTTAGAGCAGCCAGAAAGCAAGTTGTTTTGAGTGCCTACTATGTGCTAGCTACTGTTCCAGGCGGTAGGAATGCAGCAGTCTCTAAAACCAGAGATCCCTGTTATTAGGAAGGTTGGGTTTTTACTCTGTTCCTGGATAGCATGTTTACAAAACCTGTACATTTTGTATAGAGTTTTCTGTGCTAATGAACAAGGACTGCATTTGTACTTAGTCTTGATTCACTAGGCTTATCTTTGTAATAATTGTATAATTTCTCTAGAAATCCTAAATAAATTGCACGTGCTTGTAACATTCTAAAACATGCACTTCACAGCAGAATATATGATGCTGAAAATTTGTAGATGACAAAACTTCCTGATGTGCATGCTGTGAGCACTGCAGACAGATGTACCTTTTCTTTGGAGAGCTAAACAAAAGTGTGGCTTAATGCAGGTGTCCACCTATCTTGAGGCCTATTACTCTGTTGATTTGCAGTGATTTAAACATCTTTTCTGGCTGGTTGCTCTGATCCTGAAAAGTCAAGCAGCATGATGACCATTTCAAATATGAGCCCTTTGATTTTGAAAATTATATGTATAATTAAAGCAGCATTTGAAAGAGGCTATATTTGAGAATATTTCTACTATGTACCATATTGTAAAAGGTAAATAAATTTATGAAGTGAAACAATGTCATAATAACATTGAGTGCAAAGCTTGAGAAATTGTGTCCTTCTTGTTTTTCATTACTTCATGTCTCCTAATATTTCTTCTTCTGATATTATGGCTGTTTTTTGTTTTTATTTTACTTTTAATTATAAAAAAGGCAGTATCATAACAGAATGACATGTAAATTTAAAAGCCCATTCATGTTTGTACCTTCCTAGATCTGTTGCCTTCTTTAAGGCCTTTTCTAATTTACCTATTTACACATTTTTCACCTATTGAATTATAAAAAGATTAGTGTGTTATAGTAGTTAAGATCCTGAATTCAGGAGCTAGGTTGCATAGGTTCATATCCCTACTGCACCACTTACTAGCTGTGTGACCTTGTACAAGTTACTTATCCTCTCTGTGCCTCAGTTTTCTCATCTGTAGAATGGCGATAATAATAGAACATAACTGAGTTTTGTAAGGGTTAAATGAGACAATACTTGTAATGTGCTTAGCATGGTGCCTGGCACATAGTTAAGTGGATCAGTATTAGCTTTTTTTAAAAAAATGAATTCACTTACTAGTAGAATTAACATGGAACATGGGAATGAAACTATGTGGAGCACTGGATTCCACTGTGTGTCTAGAACTAAACTATTGCTAGAGATACAGAGCTGAATAAAACATGTCTGGGTAGTGGTTTGATGAATGGAGAAAGGGCTTTTGAGCAGAAACATCAGCATGTCTGAGGAAAAGCTTGTG